GTAAGTAAAAGAGGGCCAGGGGTGGGAGGTGGGAGGCCGGTGGGCGCAGGGAGGGTTCCTGGTGTGCGTGGGGCCCGGCGGGTGCCTTACCTCCCTTGGGCAGGGCCAGCTGGTGGTTGGCCTGCGCCGTCTCTGCCGTTTGCCAGCTACGCCTTGGCCGGTGCAGGGGGCGGCACCACACATGTGCGACGCTCCCGGGCAGGGAAAGTCCTCGACATATGACTGGTTGGGTAGTCCTCGGCTTACAACCGGTTGGGGGTCGCGGCATTAAAAAGGTTGAGAACCACTGCCCTAGGGAATTTAATTGCTACTGTGTCAAGGTATTGATTTAACAGCTAACCAGCTTATGTAATGTAAGATGTAATGATGGGGATGACTCAGCAGGGTCTGTGTCTCTTAAAGAGCCTTTGGATAAAGGGAAGGCTCTGCTGATGTATTCTCTCTTCTGTTTCCTGCTGTAACTGTGGTTTGTTGGATCCTGCCGTATTAAACACATGTATATATATTGTTCCTGGTGTATGATATTGTAGATGGTGTAAGATAAACCACCATTTAATGTAGACCACTGTTTATTATGTTTACTCCTGGCTTTACTCCTCACACAATAAGACTGTGCATGCTCTAACATACTGTTGTGCGTATTATTTGATTCTGATAACTGTCCACATCTGGATGTTAAGATTTATAAAACTACAGCTAGTCCTCAAGTTATCACCATAATTGAGACCAGGATTTCAGTCGATGAGCCGAGTTGAGCCACTCCCAATTTTGCTGTAATTTTTGTATGGTTGTTAAGTAAAACATTGCAGCTGTCAAGTGAATCAGGCAGTCATTAAGCAAACCGGGCTTCCCATATTGGCTTTACTTGTTGGAAGCTGGCTGGGAATGGTGATCATGTGATTGCTGGTTACTGCAATTGTACATACATATCAGTTGTTCACGTGGCCATGGGAACGCCACAATGGTTGTAAACGTAGGCCTGGTTGTCACTTTGTTTCAATGCTGCGGTACCCCAAAAGTGTCAGTCGCTAAATGAACATTTGTAAGTCGAAGATTATTTGTAGAAGGTACAGTTTAAAGCAGCTGTACTCACCCGTGGTCCCAAGTACAAAATTTAGTTGTTCGTTCTGAAGAGGGGAAGGAGCGCCACGTTGGAAGACCCCTGCTCTGGATGGAAGAGGAAACACCAGGTGCGATGGGAATAAACTGAACAGCAGCTTGAGATTTGGCTTTAACATTCTTGGGGGGAGGGGGGGAACAGCATCCTGCTCTTGAATGCAGGACCATCTTTGGTGTCACTGCAGGAGCAACACACACACACACACATTATGAAACATGTGAGCTACGTAATGCTCAGTGGAGATTAAAATGTTCCCTTGTTGAGGCATTTGAAATCTTGAACCAGGGCTTCCTTCTTTCCTTGACAGGTTATCAGTATGTATGGCAATCCAGATTTGGTTTATGGTAAGAGGGGAAAAAAACCTCTTGCAAAGGGATGCTGATGAAAACAACTACCAATTTTGATTAATGCTATTTGCTAGAGGCAGAGGAAAAAATGCTTCAAAGAAGTACTTTGCTTCAACACTGGAAGTTTTTAAGAAGAGACTAGACCAGGGGTCCTCAACCATGGCCACTTAAGACTTGTGGACTTCAACTCCCAGAATTCCACAAAGCTGGCTGTGGAATTCTGGGAGTTGAAGTCCACAAGTCTTAAAATGGCCATGGTTGGAGACCCCTGGACTAGACAAAACATTTGTCTGAAATTGTATAGTTTCCTGCCTGAGCAGGGGGTTGGACTAGAAGACCTCCAAGGTCCCTTCCAACTTTATCATTACTACTACTACTACAATGTTCTCATCAAACCTTCCAATTTACCCAAAGCAGGTGACATTAAGATGACAGAAATAAAGCCCAGGGTCTCCATCAGGAATGTCCAACCTTGGCATCTTTTAAGACTTGTGGACTTCAATGCCCAGAATTCCCAGCCAGCAAGAATTCTGGGCATTGAAGTCCACAAGTCTTAAAAGATGCCAAGGTTGGACACCTCTGGTCTGCATCCAGTGCTTTGTCACTAAAACCCCACCAGTAGTTGCCTGAGAAACACAGATTTGTGAAGTGACTATTATCTCTGAGTTCTCCATGTGTGTGTTTTGGGCCAACTGCAGCAAATACAAGAACCGTATTCAACACTTGCAGGTTTTACAACTTGACTGCAGGGGGCAGAGCTGCTTAAACTAATCCAAGTTTCTCCTTTGACCTGCTTTTCTCTGGTTTGTTTTGTTCCCTCTTCAAGCATGTAGCTGTGTTACAGAAAACATTAAGCAAATGATGGGCCCTGCTAGAGGGTAACCAACTACACAAAGGGAAGCCAATTGTCTTCTGAATTAATTTTAACCAAAAGAAACTTAGGATGTTTTGTTCCTCCCTTATAAAAAGATAAATGGCCTCCGTTCATTTAATCCGAACAACAGCTCCAGGCACTTGGCAGCCAATATTTCTTGTGCAAAAAGATATATTTCAGGCAGTATAAAAAACACAATCATGCTACCTTTTAAAGAAAATGTGTGATGTGTAGTATGTTTGTGTGAGGTTTTAAGCACCTACGGATAGTCCTCAACTTACAACTGTTGAAAGAAAAATCTTCATCAGGGTCCAGTCCAAGCTGGGAATAAACAAAATGAAGACTGCTTTAGAAAGAAGGTTGCAGTTTATTGAAGAGGAGAGCCAGGCAGAAAGATGGCTCTGAGAAAGCTGACCAGCTGGGAGTGGTGGGTTTTTATACCTTCTTGGGTTTTTGTTTGGAGTTGTTCCTGTGGCATGAACTTTGACCTCAGTCCGAGTGTGCCTTTCTGGTATTCTGATGGTGGTGGGCTAATCCTATTATGTCCCAAAGGTCATACCCTGCTTCCCTGAGGGTGTGGCCGATGAGTGTTGGATTTTTTTGGTGTGAGGGATTGTTGATTCTTTCCAACCCCAGCTTCCTGGCTCCAATTTTTCTGACAAGATTATCACATCTGCATTTCTGCAGACCTGGTTTCTGTTTGGGGCAGAGAGACTTGGGGTGTGTGTGTGTGTGTTGGTTTCTGCCTTTTAATATTTCCCAAAATATTTCTTTCTCTGAATTCTTCCCACACAACCATTTGTTTACCAATCATTCGAAGTTACGACGATATTGAAAAAAGTGACTCATGATTGGTTTTCATGCTTACGACCACTGCATCCCCCCCGGTCACGTGATCAAAATTCAGATTCTTGGCAATTGATTCATATTTATGACGGTCGCAGTGTCCTGGGGTCACGTGATCCCCTTTTGTGACCTTCTTACAAGCAAAGTCAATGGGGGAAGCCAATTCACTTAACAACCGGGTTACTAACTTAAAAACTGAAGTGATTCACTTAACAACCGTGGCAAGAAAGGCTGCTTACCAAGAGAAATTTTGAGCTCAATTATGGTCGTTAAGTAGAGTCTACCTGTATCCCGGGGTCATCTGATTTTGCGACCTTCCCAGCCAGCTTTCGACAAGCAAAGTCAATGGGGGAAGCCAGATTCATTTAACAACGGCAGTGACTCACTGAACATGGCAAAAAGGACTGTAAAATGGGCATGATTCACTTAACAACTGCCTTGCATAACAATGGAAATTCTTGTTCCAATTGTGGCCGTACGTTGAGGGCTATATTCCCTGGTGCATTTGTTCCAGGGACATTTTTCCTAAGATAGCGAAGACAATAATAATAATAAAATATATTGTAATTTATTAAATTTATATACTGCCTATCTCCTAGTGCAGTGATGGCGAACCTTTTAGAGACCGAGTGCCCAAACCGCAACCCAAAACCCACTTATGCATCGTTGGGTGATGGGTGGGTGTGACCATTGGATGGGCATGGCTGCGGTGGTAATGGCAGACTGGGTGGGACTAAAAAGTTCAATCAATCAATTCCAACTTTGCAAGATTTTTTTTTCCCGCGAGAAGTTGAAATTGACTGATTGAACCTTTTTTTTTTTTGCACAAAGCGGTGGAGGCCTAAAGTGAAAAAAATTTATAAAACCCAGCTGAAGGCCTAGGACTGGGGCGACAGCGCGCGTGCCCCCAGAGGGCTCTGAGTGCTGCCTCTGGCACCTGTGCCATAGGTTCACCACCACTGTCCTAGTGATAGCAGTCTTGTTTTATCCCAGGCCAGGCTGGCTGCCCTTTCTCTGGTCTGCTATTTCTTAGAAAGCAGAACCATGACTTAATAAAAAATAACCCCCTCCTCAGTCAGAAAATCCTGTACCATTTCAGACAAATGGCTGTCCAGTCTCTTCTTTAAAACTTCCAGTGTCGGAGCATTCACAAGTTCTCGAGGCAGGTTGTTCCACTGGTTAATTGTTCTGTCAGGAAGTTTCTCCTTAGTTCTAGGTTGCTTCTCTCCTGGATAAGTTTCCATCCGTTGCTTCTTGTCCTGCCTTCAGGCGCTTTGGAGAATAGCTTGACTCCCTCTTCTTTGGGGCAGCCCCTGAGATACTGGAACATGGTTATCATGTCCCCCCTCGTCCTTCTCTTCATTAAACTACACATACCCAATTCCAGCAACCGCTCCTTATATATGTTTTAGCCTCCGATCATCTTTGTTGCTCTTCTCTGCCCTCTATCTAGAGTCTCAATATCTTTTTTACATTGTGGTGACCAAAACTGGATGCAGTATTCCAAGGCATTGTAAAGTGGTATTAACACTTCACATGATCTTGGTTCTTTCCGTTAATGCAGCCTAGCACTGTGACAATGCAGCCACTAGCAGGCGACAAGGTCCAAATCACAACACTGTCAAGTATCACACACAGCAGCAACTCCACCCCACCTTTTTCCGCCTCTCATCGTCAACCTCCATACCAGCCTTGCCTGTTTCAAGGTGACTCTTTTAAGCAGAGTTTTCCAACCGTTGCCAACTTTAGGAGGCGTGGACTTCAACTCCCCAAATGATTCCCCAGCCAGCAGTCAAAAAACGAGAAACGAGAATAGGGAAAGAAACCAAAACAACCGAGTCTGCTTTATTGAGAGAAAGCTGGCTTATTTAAAACAATGACCTATTCCAACAGTCACCAAAACTAAGGGCAGCCTGATGAGCTTGTAAGGACATTCTCTCCCTCGGCAGAGGCCAAACGGGTGTTGGGACAAGAGGAAGGCGCTGCATGAGAGTTATATTCCGGTTTGCTTTCTGGCCTTTGTAATTAATTGCTGTCTAAAATGTCACTGGAGTAAAAGGAGACACCACCAGATAAGCTGGAAAGACTACCCTAGATACACAAACACACACATATATATATGAGCTTCAGATTCTTGCCCCCCTTCTGGCTGGACACTCTGAGGACACCGAGGTTGGGGGGGTGGGTGGGGAGGGGAGGCAGGAGAAAAGTCACTGTCCTTGTCCTCTGAGCAATTATGGCACCGACACTGTTTGTGCACTGGACCCGTCTCCAGAGAGCCCCAAAGGCTCACGTGGCTGGAGAGAGGAATGACAAAAGGCAGCAAAGCTTGGCCGTCTCTTCCAGGCTCGAGACGCCAAACACCAACACACAAGCAGCAGCAGCAGCAGCCCTTGTTTCGCGGTATCTTCTGCTCTGGGGTTTGGAGAAAATGGGGTGCGAGATTGGGGAGTTTCTGCTCCAGGGAGACCAAATGAGGAAGAGGAGGAGAGGCAAACTCTTCTACTGGCCTGAAGCACTGCCCTTCCTAAAGCCGAGGGTGACTTAAAACTCTGGATTGCTTCATGCTACTGCATCGTGAAATGGGACTAATTTAATAACCCCCCCCTAGGGCCTGCTACTAAAAAAAAAAGAGAGAGAGAGAGAACAGCACATTCTTGAGTGAGGGATGATGGATCTTAAAACTAACCGGCCACGTGTTCTTGAAATGTTAATTTCCCCATTTCTTCCATTTCCTTTCCCAACTCTCAAGATTCAGTGGTGAGAACAGACGAAAAAACTTTATGTGTGGTGAAAACTTAAAAGGCTAAAAGATCTCTCACTGCTTTTTGCCTTCCTTTTTTTTTTTTAAAAAAAAAAGGATGCAAGGGTGTTCTGGAAATATTCTTGGTTTTACAGCAGGAAAATGTCAGAGGAAACATCTAAGCCATCTGCTTAGGTCTCGTGTCACCTGAGAGAGAGGGAGAGAGAAAGAGAGGGAGGAGAGGGGAAGGGAGGGAGAGAGAGAGGGAGAAGGGAAGGGAGGGAGAGAGAGGGGGAGGAGAGAAGGGAGGGGAGAGAGAGAGGGAGAGGAGAGGAAGGACGAGGGAGAGAGGGAGACGAGAGGGAGAAGGAGCGGGGAAGGGAGAGGAGAAAGAGAGGGAGGAGAGAGGAAGGGGAGAGAGAGAGGGAGAAGGAGAGGGGAAGGGAGAGAGAGAGGAGGAGAGAGGAAGGAGAGAGAGAGGGAGAGAGAGAGAGAGGGAGAAGGGAAGGGAGAGAGAGAGGGAGGAGGAGGAAGGGAGGAAAGAGGGAGAGAGAGCAGAGGAGAGGAGAGGGAGGAGAGAGTGAAGGGAGAGAGAGGGAGGAGAGAGGAAGAAAGGAGAGAGAAGGAGAGAAGGGAGAGAGGAGAGAGAGAGGAGAGGGGAAGGGAGAGAGAGAGAGAGGGAGGAGAGAGGAAGGGAGAGAGGAGAGGGAGAAGAGAGAGGGAGGAGAGGGAAGGGAGGAGAGAGAGGAGGAGAGGGAGAGGGAGAGAGAGAGGAGGGAGAGAGGGGGAGAGAGAGAGGAGAGGGGAAGGGGAGAGAGAGAGGGAGGGAGAGGAGGAGAGAGAGAGAGGGAGAAGGAGAGGAGGAGAGAGAGAGGAGAGAGGGAGGGAAGGAGAGAGGAGGAGGGATCTCAACTCACACATTGTATTGCTGGTGTTTATACATGCAGAGGCATAATATAATTATGGCAAATCCAAATATCCCTCCCCCCCTCAGCAAAGAACGATCTCAAAGCAGGCATGAAAAGAAGCTAGCTGGGAAGTATGCAAGTCTCATATGTACTAAAGAAAGTCAATTGAGAGAAAACAATTTAAAAAAAAATTGAACTGTGACATTTCTCTTTTATGGACAGGTTCTGGGTAGCACCGATTATGGGATCAATGCATTGCACTCGTATATAAACAGAGCGAACCCTCCACTCTCTTCTAGCACTGATGATGTTACCTAGTTAGGTAATGAAATATCTGGAAGGAAACAACCAAGCTCAGAGAGCACCAAGAATTCCACAGTTCAACCTGAGCTACCAACATTCTCTTTTATCGGTATACATTGCATCTTCCCAGTATTCGAGCAGGTGAATGGGATGGAGCAATAACACCTAGTGAGCATTACCTGGCTGAGTAGATGTAATATGCAAATGAGTCCACATTGGGCTTACGTGGTCCTGTCAGATGCTCCATGCTTTCTCAACTTGGTACCCTCCCCTACAGATGGGTTGGATTGCAACATTCATCCCTCTCGTGCAAATAATGGGAGTTGTAGTCCAAGCACTTTTAGGGATATTAGTACATAGAGTAACAGGGTTGGAAGGGACTTTAAGAGGTCTTCTACTCCACACACACCCCTGTTCAAGAAGGAGACCTTATATACCAGGGGTCTTCAAACTTGGCCCTTTTATGACTTGTGGACTTCAACTCCCAGAATTCCTCAGCTGAGGAATTCTGGGAGTTGAAGTCCACAAGTCATAAAAGGGCCAGGATTGAAGACCCTTGCCTTATACCCATTCAGGATAAATGGCCACCCATCACCATTCAATGGGAGAACTCACAACTTCTGGGGCAAGTTATTCCACACTGATTAATTCCAGTGTCATTATCATTCACGACGACGACATTCCCTGACCGAGAAGAGGCCGACTCCCTTCTCTGTTCCTGTCACGTTTCTAAAGCAAATCCAGAATTTCAAGAACGGATTTTTTCCCCCCATCTTTGGACGACAGGTGAAACACAGGCATATTTGGGCCTCCCCCCTGCCTTGCTCAGCCCTCCCAGAAATCCTACCTTGCTGTGGGCTTAATTTGCATTCCTCTGACGCACGTTCTTGTCCATGTTGTTTGCAGTGTTGCCTTTGCTGGGAGGTGAAAGGAAAAGTCGGTCAGGTTCCAGAACCTTAAGGAAGATCCGTGTCAAAACTCCCCATCTAGACTAGCAAGTAGGCGGAGTCTAGGGCCTATCTAGGATGATACTTGACGGACACAAACTCCCCAATCAGAAAGCTCTCCCTCTCACAGGTCCATCTGATCGGCGACAGCAGGCAGCCCCTTATTCCTCAAAGCTCTCAGCTGTGACAACTTGAAGACGTGTGGACTTCGGCTGCCAGAATTTGCCAGCCAGCTGTGCACTGCGCTGAGATTTCAAGACAGACCATTTTAATCAACCTTGGCAGTTTGAAGAAGTGTGGACTTCAATTCCCAGAATTCCCCAGCCAGCGTGACTGGCTAAGGGATTCTGGGAGTTGGAAGTCTACTGTCAGAGCATGCAGTGTCTTATTGCACTGAGGTAACCCAGGAGTAAATACAGTAAATACTGGTCTGTATTAAATAGTGGTTTATATTACACTATCTACAAATATACACTAGAAACAAGATACCTACACGTGGTGATACAGCAACTCCAATACACAGCAATTACAGCAGGAAACAGACAGAGACTCCAGCAAGGCCTTCCCTTTTATACTCAAGCTCTTAAAGGGATACAGACGCCTGCTGAGTCATTCCTAACGTTGCCTCATTCACCTCACATTATACAAGCTGGTTAGCTTCTAAATCATTACTAAATCATCTACACATCTTCAAGTTGCCATGATTGACAAACACTGGCTAAGGCAGGGGTCCTTCCAACTCGGCCCTTTTATGACTCGTGGACTTCAACTCCCAGAATTCCTAGCCAGGCACGTGGCCTGAGGAATTGGAAGACCCCTGGGCTAAGGCATCTGCTCTGGCACAGCCACCAAGCCCTTGTGTTTCCCAGCCTTTAAAGGACCCACTAACCCAGGGTAGGCAACCTTGGCTCTTTTATGACTCGTGGACTTCAACTGCCAGAATTCCTGAGCCAGCCACGCTGAGGGGAAAGGGAGAGGTTTCCAAGCTGAGCCATGCTGGCTCAGGAATTCTGGGAGTTGAAGTCCACGAGTCATAAAAGAGCCAAGGTTGCCTACCCCTGCACTAACCCAACCACCCTCGCTTTAGGCCCCGTGGGCTCTTCTTCCCTCCCATCCGGTTTCCTGCAGCTCCTCTTTCATGATCTGCCAGCCTCAATAAGCAGCATCTGGCTTAACTCTGTTTCTGTCAGGCAGCAGGCAGCCTCCTGAAGAGTCTTCATGCCTGCTCAAGTTAATTACAGTTGGGCACATCTGCTCTCTCCTTCTCACAGACCCATCTGATCAGAGACAGCAGGCAGTCCCATATTCTGGTTGTCTAATTTCCCACCCACAAGCGGCCTCAGGAGGTGCTTTATCAGGAGTGGGGGGTGGGGGGAAGGTTCTTTATACTTACAGGGGAGCAGAGCCTCCATCGTCATCTTTGAGCAAAGGAAGAAGGAAGAAGGATTTGGTGAATAGGCAAATCATACTTTGTCACATTTATTTATGTATTTGTTTGTTTATATTTCTATTTCTATTACCTATTTATTTCTTTAGATTTCCCACCCACCCCATTTTCCTCAGATAGGGCGCTAAGCCTCCTTCATCCCCAATTCATTCTATCATCATCTCATCTATTATCTGTTTGTCAAAAGATACTTGGTTTTTAATGCTACCCCCCTATATGTCTACATTTATTTATTTACACCCCAACTTTATTATATTTATACATTCTATTTTCCCCACAACGACCCTGTGAGGTGGCTTGGACTGAGAGAGAGGGATTGGCCCAAAGCCTCCCAGCTGACTTTCCTACCTAAAGTGGGATTAGAACTCAGTCCCTGGTGATTGGCCCAGAATCACCCAGCTGGTTTTTGTGCTAAGGTGGGACTAGAACTCAGGGTCTCCCAGTTTCTAGCCAGGTGTCTTCACCACTAGACAACTAGTACTACGGGAAGATCATATGCAGAGGACAAGACAACCAGGCAAGGGTGGCTTTGGTTTGGTCTTCCACTTACCACAAAGGGTTAACATGCAGCAGCAAGAAAGAATCGAATCCAAAGTTAATGCCAGCAAGTAGGCCGTATTTACAAGCTTTTAAGCCAGTGTGGCTCAACCGTAGGCACTTACTTAGGCCAGGGTCTTCAAACTTGGCCTTTCATGACTTGTGGACTTCAACTCCCAGAATTCCTCAGTCAGGGCATGCGTGCCTGGCTGAAGAATTCTGGGAGTTGAAGTCCACAAGTCATAAAGGAGCCAGGTTTGAAGATCCCTGCTCTAGAACAGGAGTGGGCAACTGGGCCCCTTTATGACCTGTGGACTTCAACTCCCAGAATTCCTCAGCCAGCGTGCCTGGCTGAAGAATTCTGGGAATTGAAGTCCACAAGTCATAAAAGTTTGAAGACCCCTGTCTTAGGCAATTTAAGCTGTCCGGACTTCAACTTCCAGAATTCCCCAGCCACCATGCTGCTTGGGGAATTCTGGGAGATGAAGTCCAGACAGCTTTAAGTACCCAAGGTTGAGCAACATTGTTTCAGCCAATCAAGAAACCTTCTTATCCTCTAAGATAGCAGTCTTCAATCTTTCTGGCTTGGCAGCCCAACCTACTGTAGGGGTGGTGGGGGAAAAGAGGATAGTTGTGAGTGGTAGGCGCACACGTGCTCACCCACTTGTGTAGCCCGGTTCGAAAGGGCTGCAGCCCGGGGGTTGGGGACCCCTGCTGTAAGACAGAAGTAGGGAACTATGGCCCCTTTATGACTTGTGGACTTCAACTCCCAGAATTCCTGAGCCAGCCATTCCTGCTCGCTCAGGAAATCTGGGAATTGAAGTCCACAAGTCATAAAGTTCCCCACCCCTGCTCTAAAGACTTTTGTATTTGTATTTTGTATTTAATTTTATTTATATGCCGCCCAATCCCAAAGGACTCAGGGCGGCGTACAGAGTTAAAACAATCATAAAACAATAAAATAATACAGTCATACCGCGAGTCCGATCATATCCTGCCCCCCCCCGGGGACATCAGCCCCAGGCCTGCCGGAACAGGAGAGTTTTAACGCCTTTCTTAAAGGCCGTCAGGGTGGGAGTAGTTCGAACCTCGGGGGGAAGTTGATTCCACCAGGTCGGAGCCACCACAGAAAAGGCCCTTCCCCGAGGGCCCGCCAGCCGACATTGTCTGGCCGACGGGACCTGAAGGAGGCCCAATCTATGGGACCTCACCGGTCTCTGGGAACTGTGCGGCAGTATGCGGTCCTGTAAGTAACCTGGCCCTATGCCATGAAGGGCTTTAAAGATGATAACCAACACCTTGAATTGCATCCGGAGACCCACAGGAAGCCAGTGCAGCTCGCGGAGGATAGGTGACACGTGGGCGTACCTTGGCGCGCCCACAATCGCTCTCGTCCCTTTCCCTTTCCTCAATTCAAAGCTTCGCTGCAAAGAGCGCATACAAACGAAGCAGGATTTTAACGAAATCTATCAGGGTGGAGAAAGCCAGGAATGTCTTGCTGTTTACCAAGAAACATATCAAGAACAAGGATTTACATCTCCACAGCAAAGAAAGCATTTTTTTTTTTAAAGTAGGGGGCGGCACAGGAAGAAATGCTGAATTTCCGATTTAGATAGAAGCATGTCGGCATCTCGGGTGTTTAAAGTAAAATATTTTAAATAATGCAAACGTGTGGAGGGAAAAACAATGACCAGAACACTCCCTAACAGAAGAAATAGATTAAAATGTTAGATGCTGACAGCAGTGAAATGAGAAGGCCGACATTGGCTAAGAGACTTCTCCAGGGACATAAAACATTCCTGCCAATTGATTTATGCAGCAGAGTTGTTGTTTTTTGTCCCCATAGGAGACAAGGAACAAGGGAGGGGAGGGGGCAGATAAAGTCTCAGTTAGCAATGTTTCCACAGTGCCTAAGACCTCTGAAGTTGCGATGATCCGAGTGAGATTAATTTCTTTCTCAGACTAAAGGTGTGGAATCTAACCCAAGCTTAGCATAGTCGCAAAGCCAGCCTGGTGATGGGTCGAACCTGCAGGAGCCTCTTAAGGCAGGGGTCCCCAATCCCTGGTCTGTGGACCTGCACAGTCATGCCAGAAACTGGTCCATGATGGAAAATAGACAATTTTTTTAGAAATTAAAGTATTATTATGATAGAGCAGATGTGTAACTAGAACAGGGGTGTCAAACTCAATTTCTTTGAGGGCTGCATCACCATTGCGGTTGCCTTTGGGGGGCCAGGTCAGGTGCGGCCTACTGGGTGGGCATCGATGGAGTGGGTGTGGCCTGCTGGGTGGGCATGGCCAGCTCTCAATCATTGGCGTCAAGGGGGCCTGTGGGGGCCTGGGCAGGAGTGGGACAGATCTGAGGGTCTCTGGCAGAAGGGGGTGGGACCAGGGCAAGTGCCAAGACATGGTCCATTTCTTCATTCCTCACAAAGGGTGACACCTCCCCAGCATGCACCCAGGGGGTGGAGCTGAAACAGCAGGGTCTGGTTCCTCACTGTTTCCAGACGGCCTTGTGGAGCTAAGAGTGAATGCATTTCAGCATAGATGGCCACCACAAAATTGTACATTGGCTCCCGGCCAGCCTGGGCCAGGGCCAGGGACAAGGCAGCGGGGGCCGTTCCCTCACTGTTTCCAGGATGGCTTCGCAGGCCACATGAAACCACTTCGCAGGCCACATCGGCCCCCGGGCCTTGTGTTTGACATGTCTGAACTAGAATATTAGTTTTTGGTAAGAAAAGGGTATAAGGAGGAAGTGTCGTTTGAAGCTAGCCATAACAATTCTTAGGTATGGGAACCAAGGTCATTACTGATTACATTTTGGCGGGCTGGAGGCCTGGGAGGAGTGCCCAGCCTTTCATAACAACTGGTGAATGTGATTTATGACATCTAATTGAGGTGGGAATTGCAACTTTGTAACCAGGGGGAGAGGAATTTAGTCTTGGGTTCACCTTGGTACGTGCAGATATTGTGTAGCCAAATAAAAATGTTCTTTGAGGAAGAATTCTTTAACTGGCCTCATCTATCGGAACCATGACATCATCATCATCATCATTATTATTATTATCATCACCATCATCATCAACATCCCCTTGCCCAGGGGTGGGCAACCTTGGCTCTTTTATGACTCGTGGACTTCAACTCCCAGAATTCCTGAGCCAGCCACGCTGAGGGGAAAGGAAGAGGTTTCCAAGCTGAGCCATGCCGGCTCAGGAATTCTGGGAGTTGAAGTCCACGAGTCATAAAAGAGCCAAGGTTGCCTACCCCTACCCCTGCCCTTGCTCATTCCAGCACCTTACCCTCAGGAACCTCATTGGGCTTTCTCCTCTTCTCATAGATGAAGATTATTGTGACCAGGACCAGCACTTCTGCCACAATCCCCAAGAAGGGCCACAAAGCAGCCAGCCGGCTCCGCACCCTCAAGTTCACCTCAGCGCTCCCTTCGCCCATTTCGTTGGTGCCGTTGCAGACGTAAGTCCCAGGGTCCTTCTCCAGGTCCAAAGAAATGATCTGAAGGTCTGTCCTGGTGCTGTTGGACATGATGTAGAACCTTTCCTCGGTGCCGTTAAGGACAGACTGGAGGAGGAAGAGGGGTGGTTACTAGCTACAGAGGCAGACCCTTAAGAAAGAAGCCACAGGTAAGTCCTCGGCTTACGACCACAACCCAGCCCCAAATTTCCGCTGCAAAGCAAGACAGCGGTCAAGTGAGCTTTGCCCCATTTTACAACGTTTCTTGCCACCGTTGTTAAATGAGTCACGGTGGTTGTTCAATTTGTTAACGTGGTTGTTAAGTGCATCTGGCTTCCCCCATTGACTTGGCTTGTCGGAAGGTCGCAAAAGGGGATCGCGTGAGTCCAGGGACACTGTGACCGTCATAAATATGAACCAGTTGCCAAGCAACAAATGGAAACTAACCAAGGAGAGAAGCAACCTGGAACTAAGGAGAAACTTCCTGACAGTGAGAACAATTAACCAGTGGAACAACCTGCCTCCAGAAGCGGTGAATGCTCCAACACTGGAGGTTTTTAAGAAGAGACTGGTCTGAAATGGTATAGGTGTCACAGGTTCCGACTAATGAAGCACTTCAAAGAACTTTCAGGCATGTTTCCAAAAGTCTTTATTTGCAGAGCTACAATTTTTGCTGGTCACCATGTTGGACTGGTTATGCCAGAATCTGAACTTCCTGTCGCTGGCATCAAGCTTTTCTTGCTCAACCCCTCCCTTCTCATGCAGTCACAGGTCACATTATCCAATTAGTGAGAAGGTCAAACGTTTACTTCCTCTTTCCGGGCTTTTTCCCCGCTCAGTCTATGCTAAATATTAACCCAATAAATGCCAGACAGTTTTGCATATTGTCAAAGCAAGAATATACAGTATTTGCAGCATTGACAATAGGTTTCCTGCCTGAGCAGGGGGTTGGACTAGATGACCCCCAAGGTCCCTTTCAACTCTATTATTATTATTATTATTATGGATCATCGCACAGTCAGCCAGATGTTCAGACTGGATTTGGCATTTTGTCTACCTATCGAGTCCTTACCCAGGACCTGGGATAGGCAGATGTGGATGTTTGATGGTATTACAGGTATCGTCACAGGATGGAAGCAGTTCCTAGTAAGGCCGCCTTTTGCAATTGACTAATAGCGAATTTGTCAATGCCAATGGTGTTCAAGTGGTGCTCCAGTTGTTTTGGGATTGCACCCAAGGAGCCTATTACTATTGGTACTACCCTTGTTTGCTTTTGCCACAGTCTTTCTATTTCTATTTGTAGGTCTTTGTATTTTGTTATCTTCTCCAGTTCTATCATCATCATCATCATCATCATCATCATCATCATCATCATCATCATCATCTGAATTTTGATCACGTGACCTTGGGGATGCTGCAATGGTTGTGTGAAAAACAGTTGTAAGTCACATTTTTCAGTGCTGTTATAACTTTGAACAGTCACTAAATAAACTGTTGTTAAGTTGAGGACTGCTTGTATAGTCCAGAGTCACAGGAGGGAGGGGCTCTTTCCCAGAAGGCGGAGCTTGGAACACCTGGTGAGGAGGAGGAAGAGGCCAAGGCGGGCCCCTCCTTAGCAATTCGCAGCAAGTCACTTTTTTCAGTGTTGTTGTAACTTTGAACGGTCACTAAATGAACTGGTGTAAGTCGAGGACTACACACGCTCTTGAAAACGACTTAATAGTTTCAGAAGGAAGAGCCTACAGCATCAGCTTCCACACAATGTCCAATGCAAACTGGGCACCAAAGCTGAAAATCTGATTGAGGAAGTTTCCTTTTTTCTAATCAGATCACCACCTCGTTAGTGTCTCACCTCTGGAGAGATGGGTAGCATATAAATTTGATAAATATATCTTGCCCTCACCCTTCTGGTAGGGCACCAACTGGCACAGGGGTCCAAAAGCAGCATGCAACCATGGGGGTGGTTCGTGACCTGAGGGTGCCTCCCCACCACCTTTTTTTATTTTTAAATGCTCTCTAACTACAGTAGTGGCCAAAATTGTGGAAACCTTTTGGGAAAAAGGTACAGTAGAAATGCCACCTTTGGTTAAGTTTCCATCCATTTTTTTTTCTAATTTCTTTATAACTGTAGCCTTGTTCACTTAATAATACTATTTTACATCGCTTTCTGGGCAACCGGTCAACTCTTTGCACCATTACTGTAATTTTATTACGTTTTAGAAGCTCACTAAACGAAAGAACACAAAAAAATCCAACCAACTAGATTGTGATTTCATAACACACTGACAAATGTCCTCCTCTCGGCTTCAATACATGACATCAATAAATTGAATCCTACCGTGATTTGATTGGCTCATGGCCAAAACAAGATGACACCCAATTGACTCTCTAAACACTCCTGCTCATTGGCTACAATCAGATGAAGTAAAGCTACCTGATATCAACCTAAGCAAGTTGTGCTTCCTTTTTCTGGTTATTTGGCTATAACTTTTCATAGCACACAGTACAGATAATTGAACAAACTTTGTTGCATTGCATTCTTGATTAAATTATCTTTCCATTGATATATAATTTTATGGTACTACTCCAAAAAAAGTGGTGTTATTAGCCATTAAACCTCAAAAATACACTTTTCCCAAAAAGTTTCCACAATTTTGGCCACTATTGTATGTCTCTTTGTAAATGGCTGTATAGATTTTATCTATAAACCTCCCAGTCGCTCAGATGAGATGGATAGCGTATAGATTTGATAAATAAAAATAAATTTGTAGCACTGACTGCACCTCCTCTTTTAGACTAGGTTTTCTTCTAGTCCTTGCTGGAATATGACACACAATTTATTTTATTTTATTTATTAAAATGAGAAACCACCCATTTGGGTGGTATACAAGTAAAATATTAAAATATTTAACCTTTTCTCATGTGCTCTACAATTCTATGCACTCCAGCCACCAATGGGGATAATTGTTGTATAATTGGAAAAAGGAATCTACTTTGTTAGTGGCCAATCAAACCCTTTTAATAAAAAGAAAGTGTTTGGTCTTTTTATACTGAAGTACTCTCCAGCCCTTAAGCTCAGATTAATGCTACTTAAAAACTGGCATCAGGTTTCTAGTCATCAGCAGAAGACAGCCAATGTTGTATAGACCAGGGGTCCTCAACCCTGGCCACTTTAAGACATGTGGACTTCAACTCCCAGAATTCCTCAGCCAGCATTGAGGACCCCTGGTATAGACAATCCTCGACTTATGACCAAAATTTCCACTGCAAAGCAAGGCAATTGTTAACTGAATTTTGTCCCTTTTTTGACCTTTCTTTGCCACCAGTGAATCGCTGCAGTTAAGCGAATCATGGGGACATTAAGTGCATCTGGCAAGATTATAAATGGTGGTCATGTGACCGTGGGACAGGGCAACTCTCATAAACACACACCCTAATTTTGACCACATAAATGACCAGGGGGACGCTGCAACGGTGCCAAGTGCGAAAAACCATCACGGATCGCTTCCCCGCCCCAGTTCCACTGTAACTTCGAACAGTCACTAAATGAATGGTTGCAAGTCGAGGACTATTTGATTTCCAAGTGGGTTTTTCTTTTTACAGGTATGCATGTTGATCTCTCTCTTCAACCCGAAATGGTATAGGGTTTCCTGCCTGAGCAGGGGGTTGGACTAGATGACCTCCAAGGTCCCTTCCTACTACTACTACTACTACTACTACTACTACTACTATTATTACTACTACTACTAATCTGCCCTCTCTGAAGCAAGACCCGAAAAGGCCACCGGTGGATTCCTAACGTGGCTTCTCCATAAGCAGCAAGGCCACCTATTCCGAACGAGCCGGAAGAATCCCGAATCCATGGCAGGGAAAGGCACTAACCTGAGGCACCTTGTCTACCAGCTTGTACCAGGTCCACTGGATGACAGGAGGGTAAGAATTGCATTTGCAAGTCAGCGTTGCTATGTCCCCTTCCGTGCCGTGTTCCATCTTCTTGTAAGCCGTCACGTGGGGGGCAACTGCAGAAGGATATCAGAAAAGCCAACAGAGGCAATCAGCTCCACGAGCCGGAGGAGAGGCTGATTAAGCAAACACTCTGGGCCTATAAACTCATCCATCGTGAACAGGCCTTGGCAGCAGGTGACAAACATTTGGCTCCTTTCTTGGCAAGGGACAGGGGTAGGCAACCTTGGCTCTTTTATGACTCGCGGATTTCAACTCCCAGAATTCCTGAGCCACTGGGAGCTGAAGTCCACGAGTCATAAAAGTCCACGAGCCAAGGTTGCCTACCCCTGGTCTGGGATTTAGTTCTTGGGGACAGACATGCACAAGGCTGGGCAGTGATGGCGAACCTTTTAGAGACTGAGTGCCCAAACTGCAACCCAAAACCCACTTATGCATCGTCCAGTGCCGGGTGGGTGCGGCCCATTGGGTGGGCGTGGCTGCAGTAGTAACGGCAGACTGGCTGGGACTAAAAAGTTCAATCAATCAATTCCAACTTTGCGAGATCTTTTTTTTCCCCTGCGAGAAGTTGAAATTGACTGACTGAACCTTTTTTTTTTTTTGCACACGGCGGCAGAGGCCTAAAGCGAAAAGGTTTTATAAAACCCAGCTGAAGGCCTAGGACTGGGACGACAGTGCGCGTGCCCCACAGAGAGGGCTCTGAGTGCCGCCTCTGGCACCCGTGCCATAGGTTCACCACCACTGACATAGGAGTTCATTTAGCAATAGCAAGAGCACTTAAGACTTATATACCGCTTCCGAGTGCTTTACTGCCCTCTCTCTAAGCAGTCTACTGAGTTAGCGTATTGCCCACAACAATCTGGGTCCTCGTTTTACTGACTTCAGAAGGATGGGAAGCTGAGTCAACCTCGAGCCGGTCAGAATCGAACTGCTGGCAGTGGGCAGTGAGTTAGCCTGCAATATTGCCTTTTCATCACTGCACCACCGGGGCTCCTTTCTTTCCCAGACTATAGTGGAAGCTAGGGGAACCGACGAGCCGTGGCTCGTTCCCCATGGATTGGACAACAGAAACTCCTTCACCTGGCAGTCAGCGGAGTCTACCTGCAAACTGCATCCTAACTAGCTCATTATCATAACAGCTTCCCCCAATTTAGCCTCCTCGGGATGTATCCAGTTACGAACCCCACAATTCCAGTATGGAAACTGCAATCCGATTTACCTACAGCAGGGTTTCTGAACTGTGGCGACTTTAAGATGCCTGGACTTCAACTCCCAGCTCCCATGGCTGGCTGGGGAATTCTGGGAGTTGAAGTCCATGTGTCTTAAACTTGCCAAGGTTGGGAAAGCATGACGGTGGTGGCGAACCTATGGCACGCGTGCCAGAGGCGGCACTCAGAGCCCTCTCTGTGGGCATGCGCGCCGTTGCCCCAGTAGAGTTTGCCAGAGTAGCGAGCATGTGGCGTTTGGAAGCGACAGGGCAGGAAGTGAGAGAGCAAGTGGCGTTGATCCCCCGAGGATGCCCCGGAGATGGCGAGGGACTGGCCCCCGCTGCCCTGGCCTCAGCCATGCTCATCCAGTCTGCCATGACCACTGCAGCTACGCCCTCCCAGTGGGGCACGCCCCCCCCCCGAGGGCACCACAGTGCTGATGCAGCCCTGGCACTTTGTGATAAATAAGTGGGTTTTGGGTTGCAGTTTGGGCACTTGGTCTCTAAAAGGTTCTCCATCACTGACCTAGAGGATACCTGGCCAGTTTACATCAACAGAAACAGACTTCCACAAAAGTTTGCTTGCTATACCTGGAAATGCTCCGATTTCCTAGAGACAAATATTTGGGTACTTTTGTGGTCCCCTCCAGGTGATGAAAAATGGGCAGCACCAGCACTTATAAACTGCTTCACGGTACTTTACAACAGGGGTCTCCAGCCTGTGGTCCCTGGCCACCTATTGGCCACTGGGCTATAGGAATGGCTAGCGAGTGCACGCACATTTATGTGAAGCCCCCACTTGTGCTAGCCCCACCGTGTGAGACCTAGAGGCCCTGTTTGCACATGTGTGCGGGCACTAGCAGCCCATTTGTGCACATGCATGAGTGCTGGTGGCCCATTTGCCGAGGTGGCACAGCAGTTAGAGTGCAGTACTGCAGGCCACTTTAGCTAACTGTGTTCAGTAGGTCAGCGGTTCAAATCTCACCGGCTCAAGGTTGATTCAGCCTTCCATCCTTCCGGGGTAGGTAAAATGAGGACCCAGATTGTTGGGGGCAATGTAAATATAAATATATATATATATATATATATATATATTATATATATATAATATATATATATATATATATATATACATTGCTTACTGGTGTACACCGCTTAGAGAGTGCTTGCATTTAAAGCGGTATATAAGTCTCATTAAATAAATAAATAAATAAATTTGTGCACGTGCATGGGAGCTAGCGGCCTGTTTACATGTGCACAGGTGCCGGTGCCACCACCAGTGCTGCTGTGGGTCTGCACGGACCGCTTGCACATGCGCATGGGTGTTAGCACCACTGCCGCACGCATACCTGTTTGCGCATGTGTGCATGCACGTGCACATTTCCCTGCTCCTCCCTTTCCCTCTGGGACACCAACCCCGGAAAGGCTGGGGAGCTCTGCTTTACAGCCCTCTCTAAGCTGTCTACATATTGCCCACAACAGTCTGGATCCTCATTTTACTGACCTCCAGAAGGATGGAAGGCTGATTCAACCTTGAGCCGGTCAGGATCGAACTGCTGGCAGTGGGCAGTGAGTTAGCCTGCAATACTGCTTTTTAACCACTGCACCACCAGGGCTCCTTTCTTTCTCAGACTAGAGAGGAAGTTAGGGGAACCAAGGAGCAGTGGCTCGTTCCTCATGGATTTGACAACAGGAAGCCCTTCTCCTCTATGTAAATGAACAGGGGAAAAAAGCAGAGGACTGAAGCGTCCACAGGTTGAAGTTACCTTTCACATACACTGTTGCTCTTGAGATGGGTGTGGTGTTAAAGACGCAGTGGTACTCTCCTGAGGTTTCGTGATCCACTTTGGGGATCCTAGGATTCAAACACACACACACAAGCTCACACATACACCAGGAGGTAACAAGTAGAACACACAAAACCATTAGAGCAGGAGAATTGGGAATGGATATTGTCAACTACCACTTCACTCAGCAAACGCAAGGGTCATGGAGTAAGAGGATACCAAGGTAATGCTTTAAAACAGCGGTTCTCAACCTTTGTGTGACAGCGACCCCTGTCACACGCATGCGCGGCACCGCCCCCATGCGGATCGCGTTGTTTGGCGACCCCCGTAAAATGGTCGTTCGACCCCAAATGGGGTCGCGACCCATAGGTTGAGAACCGCTGCTTTAAAAGCTAACCAGCTGATGTAACGTGAGATGTGTGATGTAATGGGAATGGTTCAGCAGGGTCTATTCCCTTTAAGAGCCAGCTGAGTCTGTGTCCCTTTAAGAGCCATTATATCAAAGGAAGGCTCTGGTGCTGTGTTCTCTCTCTTCTGTTTCCTGCTGTAATTGTGGTTTGTTGGATCCTGCTGTATTACAACGTGTGTGTATATTGTTCCTGGTGTATGATATTGTAGATAGTGTAAGATAAACCACCATTTAATATAAACCACTGTTTACTGTGTTTACTCCTGGGTTATCTCGCATAATAAGACTGTGCACGCTCTGACAGATGAGCTACATTCCAGCATCATCCAGGAGAAAACAAAATACTAGGAAAAGCTGGATTAGATTTAGGACACATACCTAAACTCTGCTGATTAAAACACCTAATTATAATTTTCTGGGACAAGCCTGGAATCTTGAGAGGAAAAGTTCCAGGAAGCCATCACAATCAAACAACAGAATGAACAGAACAATCGTGATTGTCCAAGAATCTTCCACATATAGATGAAGCTGAAGAAGGCAAATAGCAAATCAATCACTCCTTCTAGGATGGTGTGTCTTGTTTAATGCACAGGGCACTGGCACAAAGATAATCAGATTGGCAAATTTCTATTAATTGCCCGTCTGGTGGAATACCACGTTTTCCAAGGGATTTCTCTTTGTTTTAATTAAGCCTGATCAGAAATTAACACAAGTAGTCAACTCACAGCCATCCATTGGTCCAAAGTACTGAAAAATGTGCAACCAGTCCTTGTGCTTATGACCAATGCAAGCCATGCCATCAAAATTTGGTTGCTTGGCTTGTATTTACATTTATAGCCTCCTAGGGTCATATGCTCCCCATTTACGACCTCCCCAGCCTGCCTTCCCTTTGCTTGAAGACTGCATGACTCACTCAATGACGGCTGTGACTCGCTGAACCGTGGCAAAAAAAAAAGGTCTTACATTTGGGCATGACTCATTCAACAGCTGCTCTGCTGAACAACAGAAATTCTGGTCTCACTTGTGGCCATACATTGAAGACTATATGTATTATACAGCTACCCTTCTGGCTGTTAAGTGGCTAGCAGAAGTGTATGTCTCTCTTTTCAGTAGAGGTAGTCCTCGACTTACGACCACAACTCGGCCCAAAATTTATGATGCTAAGTGAAACATTTGTGAGATGAGTTTTGCCCCGTTTTACAACTTTCCTTGCCATAGTTCTTAAGTGCATCACTGCAGCGGTTAAGTTAGTAGTATGGTTATTAAGTGAATCTGGCTTCCCTCATTGATTTTTACTTAATAATAATAATTATAAAGTTGGAAAGGACCTTGGAGGTTATCTAGTCCAACCCCCTGCTCAGGCAGGAAACCCTATTCTATTTCAGACAAATGGCTGTCCAGTCTCTTCTTAAAATCCTCCAGTGTTGGAGCATTCACCGCTTCTGGAGGCAGGTTGTTCCACTGGTTAATTGTTCCAACTGTCGGGAAGTTTCTTCTTAGTTATAGGTTGCTTCTCTCCTTGACTAGTTTCCATTGTCAGGTCACAAAAAGCTGATCACAGGACCCCGGGACACTACAACTATCATAAATATGAGCCAGTTGCCAAGCGTCCTAATTTTGATCACATGACCGGGGGGGGGGGGGTTGTGCCACAATGGTCATTAAGCGTAAAAAATAGACTTGTCACTTTTTTTAAATGCTACTGTAACTTCAAATGAACTGTTGTAAGTCAAGGACTACCTCTATATCTTTAAATACTGTGGGCTTTTGCAGTACTTAGTTGGATTAAAAAAGAAAAAAAAACAATTATTTTGCACTCTGCGTTTCCCCATTTCTGTGTTACGCCTGCCACTAAGTGAGACACTGTTCTCAGCTGAAGGATACCTGCCTATTCCCACCTCCTTTCTAATTTGGAAAGAAGCTAGTCCTGCCCAACGTTTAAGCACCAGAGATTTCTGTGCAGTGACAATCAGCGAAGAATTAGGCTTTCTGCAGGCAATGCAAATATTTCAGGCTTGTTGTTAAGCTAATGCGTACAATTCGTTACTCCCATCCCCACCCTACTAGCAAGATTCTAGGGAGAGGAGGAAGGAACGGGTTGTTAACTTCTTTGGGTTGTTAACTTCTTTAAGTGCCGAGGGCAGAGTATAATCCGATGCATACTTTCTAGGAGATAATCTCCATTCAACAATTTACTTCCGAGTGAAATCAAATTTTTGTTTTGTTTACTGTAAAAAATGATTCCACTGAACATTGTTAACGTGGGCCAAAGGAGCTGGCTTCTTCATTTTGCATTTGGAGGAAATATTCCATTTGGAGAAGCTGCTGATCTGAGATACATACTTTTTTTTTTTTTGAAGATTTTTATCCCATATTTTCTTTCAGATACAACTCAAGGCGATGAACATACAAATATTTCTTCCTCCTCCTCCTCCTTTCTCCACAACAACCCTGTGAAGTGGATTGGGATGATAAAATGTGACTGGCCCAAAGTCACCCAGCCAGTTTTTCATGGCTAAGGTGGGACTAGAACTCACTGTCTCCTGGTGATTGGCCCAAACTCACCCAGTTGGTTTCATGTCTAAGGCGGGACTAGAACTCACCGTCTCCTGGTGATTGGCCCAAAGTCACCTAGTCGGTTTCATTCCTAAGGTGGGACTAGAACTCTGTCTCCCAGTTTCTAGGCTAGCACCTGAACCCTTACACCAAACTGGTTCTGATACTTAACTCATGTATGATTTATTCAAAGTCACCTACATGTATGAGGTAAAATCCAGAGCGGTCTTATTGGACTCAAGCGTCTTCTTTCCTTTCATCCAGTAATTGCCTTTGATAGGTGTTGGTGGGTCACTTATGTTACATGAAATAATCACGTTCGATCCAGCAGTTACTTCAGGAGAGGTTGAGATTTGGGGCCCTGATTGTTAAGAAGAAAACGAAACCAGGTTAGGATGTCATGAACGTGTCGGCATGTTTTAGCACAGGGGTTCTCAACCCTGGCCACTTTGCTGGCTGAGGAATTCTGGGAGTTGAAGTCCACAAGTCTTAAAGTGGCCAAGGTTGAGAAGCCCTGTTTTAGCACCTCTGAAAAGAAGTGAAGAACCCTGGGTTTTGACACAAGGTTCGATCACCTCACCCGCGTGCCTAAAAAAAAAAAGCAGCTGGGCCGCTAACTGCGTTTAATCCTTATCATTAAGATCAAGGCTGTGAGGTTTTAACCATGCGGCCAGTTGTACAAATCATGAAACACCACACATAAAACTATCCCATGGATTTGAAGGGAAAGAGATTAGGAAGCAGAGATAACAGTAATTTCTAAGCAGCACATCACCTTTTAAGCACATCATTATTCTAATGTGAACTAATAACAAATACAACTACTGGAATAAAGAAAATAGTGTATCTATGCATACAGACCGCTGAATTGTTGAAAACATTCTGGGTGCTTTATTTGTTGTTTTGGAGTCAATATATTTGCTTTATTTTTTTTCCCTGCTTAAACACACGTGCACATTCGTCTCCTTTCTGAACAATCACCATAGAGAAACATCTAGTTCCATTCTCTCTCTCTCTCTCTCTCTCTCTCTCTCTCTCTCACTCTCTCACTCACTCAGGAATATTTTGATAAAAATGGCTGTATACAGGTAGTACTCGACTTATGACCACAGCTGAACCCAAAGTTTCCATTGCTAAGCAAGATAGTTGTTAAGTGAGTTTTGTCCCATTTGACCATCTTTCTTGCCACGGCAGTTGTTAAATTAGTAACACAGGTTGTTAAGTGAAGGTGACTCTGCTTGTCAGAAGGCTGCAAACGCCGATCACGTGAGTCCAGAACACTGCAGGTCATAAATGCATGCCAGTTGCCAAGCATCCAAATTTTGATGGGGGATACAAGCAACGGTCATGCGACAAATGTCTTATCCCTTTTTTCATCGTCGTTGTAACTTCAAATGGTCATTAAATGAATCATTGTAAGCCGAGGGCCACCTGTCGCTCAAATCTTAAGCCAGGAGCAGAAATTGCATTTAGGATCTTAAGCCAGCTCAAGAAGAGAAATAAAGGGAGAAATTGGCAGCCTCTAAGTGGGATCGTCCCCACTTTAAGCCCAGCTCAACCACAGAGACTCTGGAAACGGCAAATTTCCTATAGACTTCTTTGCCTACCTAGGAAAGGCTTGGGCTTAGTGAGAAATGCAAGGATTAATAACGGCAGAAGGCAGTGTGCAGAAAGTCCACAACGTGCAAGCACAATGGAGCCCAAAATTTCTGCTGCTAAGTAAGCCACTTGGTTAAGTGAGATGGGGCGTTGGTCTTACCTGAACGCTTTTCTCAGTACGGAGATGGATAATCCACGGATGGGTTTTCTCTGTCTGCCTGCTCTTGAGACCAAGTAGCCAAAGCTTGACACGCCCCCACTTCCTGTGGAGTCCATTCTTAACGAGGGCGAATTGGCTGATGATTGACGAGGTATTGGCTCTCAGCTCCCTACTAGCGGCCTGCTGGCCTTGGGGTGGGTGTGGATTATCCATCTCCGTACTGAGAAAAGGCGCTCAGGTAAGACCAACGCCCCTTCTCCAGTACAGGAGATGGATAATCCACGGATGGGACGTACCAAAGCCTCACTGTCCCAAGGGGTGGGAAACAGATAAGGCCGGTAGATTGATCTCTGAGACAACTTGCTGGAGGACCCTCCTACCAAAGGAGGCGTCCGCCGATGCAAAGCGGTCTATCTTGTAGTGTCGTATAAACGGGGAAGGCGAGGACCATGTCGCGGCCCTGCAAACTTCCTCGATTGACGCCTGGGTAGCCCATGCCGCCGAAGTTGCAGCGCTTCGGGTGGAATGGGCTGTGAGATGACTTGGGGGCGGCAGGGATGATACATTGTAAGCTTCTGCGATACAGCTTCGGATCCACCTTCCAATGGTGCCCGCGGAAACTTTCCGCCCCAAGGTGCCCGCTTGGAAGGACACAAATAGGGCCTCCGATTTGCGGAAGGGTTCTGTACGCTTTATATAACGCCGCAAGGCTCTGCGGACGTCCAATGTATGCCACTGCCGCTCCCGGTCATGTGTTGGATTTGGACAGAAGTTTGGGAGAATTACTTCCTGTGTCCTGTGAAAGAGTGAATTCACCTTCGGTATGAAGGCAGGATCTAACCTAAGGACCACCCTGTCCTTGTGGAAAATGCATAGGTCGTTTCTGACTGACAGTGCGGCCAGTTCCGAAATTCGTCTGGCCGATGTGATGGCAATCAGGAACGCCACCTTTAGCGACAGGTGTCGCAAGGAAACGGTCGCCAATGGTTCAAATGGTGACCGAGTGAGTGCGTGAAGGACTCGCGGTAGTTCCCAGGACGGGTACCTGTGAATTACTGGAGGTCTGGTGTTATAGGCGCCCTTGATAAAGGCGCGGATCCTGGGGTGGTGAGCTAAGGGAACCGAATCCGTGCAGGTGAGGAGGGTGGACAAGGCCGCCACTTGCCTGCGGATGGTCGCGGGGGCGAGGCCTCTGTCTAGTCCCTCCAAGAGGTAATCTACTATCTGAGGGATGTAGAGTTTGTGTAAGTCAAACTGCCGTTCCCTGCACCAAAGGCAAAAATTTTTCCAAGTGGAGTCATAAATGCGGTTTGTTGCCGGACGGCGTGAAGCTTGAATTATGGTAATGGCCCCGGGAGAGAATAGTTCCTGTGCCATTATCTGGCGCTCAAGTGCCAGGCGGTCAGTTGTAACCATTGGGGTTCCGGGTGACTGATGGTTCCCTGGTGTAGGGACACTTGATGAGGGGGAATGTTCCATGGGGGCGACTGAGACAGGTTCATCAGGTCGGCGAACCACGGTCTCTGTGGCCAATATGGTGCTACTAGGATCACTTCTGCCCGCTCCTGAATCAGCTTTCGGATGACCGCCGGTATGAGTGGTAGTGGGGGAAAGGCATAAAGCAGACCCTGAGGCCACTGAGTTCTCAGAGCGTCCGTCCCCTCTGCTCGCGGGTTGAAGTAACGAGAGTAAAATCTGGGGAGCTGGGCATTGTCTGATGATGCGAACAGATCGAGGATCGGGTACCCGAACTTGCGGGAGATGTCTAGGAACAAGTTCGGGTGTAGCCCCCACTCCGAAGGGTCCACTGTGGTGCGGCTTAGGAAGTCCGCTTGCTGGTTGTTGACCCCCGATATGTGTTCCGCTTTTAGTGACTTCAGATTGGGCTCTACCCAGCTGAATAGGAGTCGTGACTCTGTCATCAGGGTTTTTGATCTGGTCCCCCCCTGCCGATTGATGTGCGCCTTGGCTGCTACGTTGTCTGTTAGGACTAGAACGTGGTGGCCTCTGATTCTGTCTTTGAATTGTTGCAAGGCTAGGTGGATAGCCCTGAGTTCTAGCCAGTTGATGTTGTTTCTCAGATCCGTGGCGGACCAACGTCCCTGTACAAACTGGGAGTCCAGATGGGCTCCCCAACCATACAGACTGGCGTCTGTAGTGATGGTAACTCTGACTGGTTCCTTGAAGGGTGACCCCTTGGTCACGGCCCGAGAGCACCACCAGCGTAGCGCCCTGCGGATTTGTGCCGTGACCCTGACTAGGTGGTTGGATGCGCTGGTGTTCTGCCGTTGGTACGGGAGCAGAAACCACTGTAGTTCCCGTAGGTGGAGCCTGGCCCAGGGTACAATGGCTATGGCCGATACCATCTTGCCCAATAATTGGGAAAGTGTTAGTATCGGAACTGAACGTTGCCTGTGAACCCAGCGAGCCAGTTCCCTGATGCCGGCCACCCGGTCTTGGGAGAGATAGACCATACAGTTGGTTGTGTCTATCATGGCCCCCAGATGCAGCAGCCTGGACGAGGGAACTGTCTGGCTCTTCTGAAAGTTTACTGAGAATCCGTGTAATTGGAGGACGCGAATGACGGTCCTTACGTCCGCCTGAGCTGTCTGTAGGGATGTTGCTTGGATTAGTATGTCGTCTAGGTAACATTGGACGCGTATTGGGATTTTTCTCAGTTTGGCGGCTACCGCTGCTAGTATCTTGGTAAATACCCTGGGTGCCGAAGATAGACCGAAGGGGAGAGCTCTGTATTGGAAGTGTTTTCCCCCGTAACAGAAACGTAGGAACCGGCGGTGGTTTGGGTGGATGGGGATGTGAAGGTAGGCTTCCGTGAGGTCTATCGATGCCAGGAAGTCTCCTTCTCTGATGCTTCCCAGGATGGACTGAAGGGATTGCATCTTGAATTTTTTGTATGTGATGTAGCGGTTGAGGTTTTTTAGGTCCAGGATTGCCCTCCATCCTCCTGAAGTCTTTGGAACCACGAAGAGGATGGAGTAAAATCCTCTGCCTCTGTATTCCGCTGGGACCGGTTCTATTGCTTGAATGTCCAACAGGTGTTGGATGGCCTCCTGCATGAGTTTGCGTTTGGTGGGGTTCCTGGAGACCGAGCAGTTGATGAGTCGGTCTGGGGGTGTGACCAGGAACTCCAGGGACAGCCCGGACTGGATGGTTTGTAGTACCCAGTTGTCCGTGGAGGTCTGCTCCCACTGGTGGAAGAAGTGAGCTAGTCTTCCTCCAATGGGTAGGTCTATGTAGGAGTCATTTTGTCTTCCGGTACGGACGACCCGTTCCACGAAAGGGTCGTCTCGACTGGTTTTGTTGTCTGGGCTGGAACCCCGGTCTGTCGTAGGGGCGGCCGTACGGTTTGTTCTGCCTGGGAGTGAATGGCTTGGGTGCCTGACTGATAGGCGTGGTTGTCGGTTGGCGAAAGGACTGCCTACGAAAGTAAGGTGTGGTACGTTTGTCTGACCTTTTGTTCAAGTGTGCCATGACCTTCCGCTTGTCTTTGTTCTCTACAAGATAGGGGTCCAAGGCCTCCCCAAACAGACCGTTGCTTGAGTAAGGGGCGGTCGCTAGCCGCCACTTAGCCTTGGTGTCAGCTTGCCAGTGTTTTAGCCATAGCATTCTCCTGGCAATTATGTTGGATGCTATGGATCTGGATGAAAAAATGGCCGATTGGAACGTTGCGTCTGCAGCGTATTCCGTGGCTGCTACCATCTTAGCCAGGTCCTGGTGTGTTCGTATGTCCTCCATAGGAACTATGGTTTGTAGTTGTTGCAACCAGATGAGGGTGGCCCGGACAAAAAAGGAGGCCGAGGTGGCTGCTTTGATGGCCCATGCCGCTGTCTGGTGGGTTTTGCGAAAGGCTTGTTCCCACTTTTTGTCATCTGCCTTAAGGGCCTCCACTAGGTCCCCAGCCATGGCTGTCTGGGAGACCAAGGGGGTCCAGGCTTCATCTACTTTAGGAATTTCTAAGGCCTCATTGAGGTCTGTGGCAGTGCTGTATAATTTTTTGTCCGTACCACTCACTGATGGGAAGGAAGCGGGAGAGTCCCATGGCTTCTTGATCCCTTTCAGGAAAATGGCGGGGCAAGGTATATGGTGTTGCGTTGTCACCTTTTCTACGAATACGGGTCTGGATGTGGTGGCCGGTGTCGCTTGCGGCTGAGAAAACTGATCCGTCCCCATGTCCGCAATGGCTGTGGCCTTGCGTAGTATCGTGAGGAAGCGGTTGGGATTAAATAATCCCCCTGAGGGGGGCTCAGGGGGAAGTTCCTCATCCTCTGACATAGAGATCCCAGGTTGATCCTCCTCTTGTGGTGAAGAATAACCACTCATGGAGGACTGGGCCGGGGAGACGGGTTCCTGAATGCCTGAGGACTCTGAGGGGAGTTCCGAGTGTGGCATGGCTGAGATGGAGGGCCCCTGGTCGTGGTGGGCGGAGCGCTGTGCTAGGGCTCGGTCCACCACTTTGGTTAATAGGGCCTCTAGCCGTCCATCTGCCCAGATGTCCCCTATGTCATTACCTTTGGGTGTGGTGACCGCAGGTGGAGAGTTGGACTCAGTGGTTGTGCCTGCCGCCGTGGTTGTTTGTTGGGCTGATGTAGATGGCGGATCCAGTGGTTGCGGTGTTCCTGGAATGGACCATGCGCTCTGGGTTGATGTGGATGGACCCAATGGTAATTCCATCTCGGTGGCCGCTATTTGAACCAATTCCAATTGGGCCTGCCTCTGCGCTCTGGAGAACTCCTTCTCCAGGGCCTGGTGCCTACGGCTGGCTTGCTTTTCCGCCAACTTGGAGGGCCTCTTGAGCGAGTGTTTTGTCTTCGCTTTGCACTTGCCTGCCGCCTTCTGGTCAGAAGGTGTGTTGCAGCCGTAATTGGGAGATGGAGGGGTCGTGCTCATGGATTGAGGCAACGAGGGTCCCTCCATTCCGCTTGAGCAGTCCCAGAAAAACTGAGAAGACGCTCAGGCAGGCAAGTATTGGCGGGAGCGAAATTGGAACAAGTACCAGGACTGTTCCCCTGATCACCCGACCACAACAAAAATATTCTCTCTGGGCTAAGGTCACGGTAGCTGAGGGAGGTACCGAAGGCACGTTTGGAACCACTCTTTGGGTTCCGCCCGGAGGCCTTAGGTGACCAGGCAACGTGCACCAGTAGAAAAAGGAAAAGGGAGGCAAAAAATATCAGTGGCGACCTCAAAAGGGTCTGTAGGCCTGACTTAATACACAGCAGGTATCAAATGGCGGTCACCTAGAGCGGAATTTATTCTTATTAATACTATTACTATTATACTAATAATAGGAACAACAACAATAATAAAATAATAATAATAACAACAACAACAACAATAATGGTGATGATGATAATATTGTGTGTTCTGTCTTTAGGCCTGTTGGCCCTGCAGTCGCTTAATTTTTAGCTTTAAAAAAAAATTTTTTTTTAATTATTATTATTATTATTATTAATGGAGCCCAAAATTTCTGCTGCTAAGTAAGCCACTTGGTTAAGTGAGATTTGCCCTATTTTACAAGTCTTCTTGCCACAGTTTCAAGTGAATCACTATAGTTCCGGGGTAGGCAACCTTGGCTCTTTTATGACTTGTGGGCTTCAACTCCCAGACTTCAACTTCCTGGCTGGCTCAGGAATTCTGGGAATTGAAGTCCACGAGTCATAAAAGAGCCAAGGTTGCCTACCCCTGCGTATAGTTCTTAAGTTAGTAACACAATTGCTGTGTGAATCTGGCCTCTCCATTGACTTTGCTTGTCAGAAGGTCTCAAACGGAGATCACGTGACCCCGGGACACGGTAACCGTCATAAGTATGAACCAGTTGCTAAGTGCATGAATTTTGATCACAAGATCACAAGTGTGATAAATGGTCATAAGTCACTTTTTTTCAGTGGCATTGTTAACTCTGAACGGTCCGGTCCCTAAATGAACTGTTGTAAGTCGAAGACTACCTGTATTAGCTCTCACCTGCCATGAAGGAGGATTTCTCACCTGGTGAGGAATAAGGTCAGTCACAAAGTCACAATGGTCATAGCTATTTTCTTGGCGTTTCTTTGAGAGAGAAACAATGGGACAAATGCACCCCAGTTCGTATGCATGGAATACCCAAGAACAGGAGTAGGCAACCTTGGCTCTTTTATGACTCGTGGACTTCGACTCCCAGAATTCCTGAGCCAGCATGGCTCAGCTTGGAAACCTCTCCCTTTCCCCTCAGCATGGCTGGCTCAGGAACTCTGGGAGCTGAAGTCTACCAGTCATAAAAGAGCCAAGGTTGCCTAGCCCTGCCCAAGAGGACTATGTGGCTATTTTCACGCTTTGTTTCTTTTGGATTTCAACAAATTAATGACCCTCCCCTAAACTGCAGGGAAACAGAATGAAATGTAGTGGGTGTGCAACTTACCCCCCCCCCAAAGGGCACTGGGCTTTCACTTCAACCTCTAAACCAGTGGTTCTCAACCTGTGGGTCGGGACCCCATTTGGGGTCGAACGATCATTTCACGGGGGTCGCCAAACAACACAGTCTGCCACTTTTTCCCCTTTTCCTTAGCTGTGCTACTCCCTTTTATTCTATTGGCTTTTGAAAGCCAATAGAATAGACTCTCTTGAATAGAGTCTAATTCTATTGGCTTTCAAAAGCCAATAGGAATTGTCCAGGCTGTCTCTGCCCTGCTGAGCCCGCCAAAATTCCCATTCTGCAAACGGTGCTGCACTAGTTGAGTAGTCCTCAACTTTTGACCGGTTCAGTAGTCCTCGACTTACGACCGGTTGGGGGGGGGGTCATGGCATTAAAAAGGTTGAGAACCACTGCTCTAAACAAAGATTTTGAGCACTGAAAGAAGTTTATCCAAGCCAACTGTCATATTTAATCACCATTTTCATTTCAAGAGAAATACTGCTATGAATATTTTCCCCGCCAATTCATCCATGGCAGCCATTTCCCATCAGACTGGGTATAAGATAAAACACCCTCCTGAGACGTGCCCTTCTAAAGATGTTTCCGTTTATCAAGAATTATTTCGTTTCGTTTTAAACGAGCCATGGATAGAACAGCTATTTGCAAACTTCCTTCAGTTAAGGAACAATTTCTCACAGAGAGACACCTTGAACGTCTACCAGTGAAGCTAGTCTACTGCAGAGGTTTTGAAGCATAGTCTATACAGCATGGACCTAGTTCATATGTTGCATTGGCTAGGCTGGCCAGGCTGCACCATTGCCTCATATGAACCCAGGAGATCTTAGCCTTGGGAATGGGAAAGTCATTCCTGATCTCATGAAGGAATCCTTGATCAAACTTTCAAGAGGCTTCGGGAGAATTTGAAAGCCAAGAGTGAAAATGTATAAAATGCATATAAATCCAAAACTGAAGCCCATAAATGCAAGTTCAGCATTTTAGCCATTGGCCCAGGGGTCCTCAAACCTGGCCACTTTAAGACTTGTGGACTTCAACTCCCAGAATTCCCCAGCCAGCCATGCATGGCTGCCTCTGGAATTCTGGAAGTTGAAGTCCACAAGTCTTAAAGTGGCCAGGTTTGAGGACCCCTGCGTTAGCTGCATCGTGGGTTATTTTTTTTTTTTCTGTTAAAAATTTGACTTGCAGCTCTGCGTATGGAAGGACAGCCGACTGGTCATTCCACAGCCAAGGAGAACTAAGCATATGACCTAGGTGGCAAAGAGGAAGTTTGGCCATCTCAGAAACAGTTGCCATTACAACAAGCACAAATACTGTTTGGACTCGCCCCACGGAAAATTGTGCTCCTTGTAAAGAGGGAAAGCAAAAAAAAAAAAAGCAAGCACAACCGTACAGATGCAGGAAGAAATATCAGAGCAGGAGAAGGAGGAAGAAGAGGAGGAGGAGGGGGGAGAAAAAAGAGGTTTGGAAATGACCGGTGGAAGCAGCGCCAAGGCAACCTGTTCTCTGTTTCTAATGGGAGCATCGGGGCGAGAGACGCAGCATTGCAATGGATCCCAAAAGGGCAGGATCATTTTAACGGAGAGGTGTGTTTGAGCAAGGCTACAGCAGATCCCTGTGGGATTCACAAGGGTTAGGAAACGGAGGTAACTAGAAGGTCGTGGGAAGCCACGGGACACGGGTAGAAGGAGAGGCGGGCGCAGGGACGGTAACGTTGGAGACATTTCGGTGTCCGCGGAAACGCCAACACTCAGGTCTGCCGCCACTCACGCTTAGTGACAATGACATTCGCCTGGGAGCGGATCCACTTGACTTTGGGGCTCTTCGACAAGTGGTTACGATCGGGGTCGTTGCTGGCCCAGCATTCGTACGTGCCAGAGTCTTCAATCCCCAGGTCAGTGATGGCGATAGTGCTGGAGGAGTGGTGCTGGTAGGTCGTGCTGATTTGGACCCGGTCCTGCCAGGCGCCATCCCACAGCTGTATGGCGGTTTCACTGGGAACTGCTCCTTCAAACCACCACTGGATTTCGGGGATGGGGCTGCCAATAGCCTCACAGTGCAGTTCCACACTTTCCTCTGTCAGTTTCTTTTGAGAGAGAGGTGACTTTATAAAGCCAGCTATGAGTTGAAGAGGCATTAGTACAAAGGGTTAGTGCAAAAAAAGAAAGAAAGAAAAAAAAGTGCATTCAAAAAAGAAAGATATTTCTGATTTTTAAAAAGGGATAATAGTAACTCACAGAGATATACCAATTTCTTAATTGGTTGCTTATATTGCAAGAAACAGAAAGTAATGAAAGCAGAACTTGGAAAGCTTCTCCTGCCTTGATGAATGGCTGAGGATGGACAAGTTTCTAACAAAAAAACAATATTAATATGTCCCATCCATATTCTTTGCCTATCATTTCATTCCATACAGCATTAATCTTGTGAACTCTCAAGCTTCCTCCTTCCGTTATATATTCAAGATGGACAGTATTTAATATTTATTTGTTATGTATATGTAGGGGTGTGGGTCTATACATATGTTGTATATAGTATGTTTAGGTATGTGTCATGTATGTGTTTCACTTTGAGAGTGGGCAACTAAATTTCATTTTTGATGTGTCCGTTGTGCCCACAGTAAAAAAATGTCAATAAAGGTTATCTTATCTTATCTCTTATTTTATCTCTACTCAGACTAAGATTTTTCTTTTTTTCTTTCTTTAAAAGGCGAAGCAGAACTCATTTACTCTTTGTTATTTAACTTTCATACTATGGAGGCTGCAATACTAATGTAGCTTAAATAAAGCAATATTGAATATTTATCAAACAACAGTTCAATCTCTGTGGCATCATCCTGTGTGGGGAAAAATGCATGGGCAGCAAACTGCCATGCTTCCCCCCCCCCCAACCTCATAACCTTTTGATACCCTTTGTCCTAATGAAGCAGCCAGAAGGTCATACCCTTTTGACTTAATACCTTACCTACCTAAATAGATAATATGCTTAAGTTACTTCCTATCTCTTCCTGCCTTTGTTAGTTCCTTCTCCTGTTTGCTCTTTACCTAATCTTTGACCATGTAATGTGTTACTAGAAAACAGTTGCTTAAATGAAGACATTTTCCCATGAAGAAACCTTTGTCAGCATTTAATGGTAAAGCCTATGTATGTAACAAGTATATAAGAAGCAATAAACTCAGAGTTTGTCAAGCTGTGTCTTGCAGCTTCAAACCTCTGCTCAAGACATGCCTGCGTCTTTTTCTTAGCGTCTTACAGTCGTGTCCTAAAGCAATTTGCAAATCAGGACCCTAAAAAAATTCACAGGCCATTACGGAGCACTCCAAAGAACCTTGTACACATGGAAAAGGCACGACCCAACCTTTTATTCATATGTTTGTAAGGCCATTATAGCATTATCAAAAAAGATAAGTTTGCTAGCCTTCATGAGTTTTTTCAAAGCATTAGCTTTCCATACAAGAGACTGCTTTCAGCAATAGATTCATAAGGAAGTCCTGGGACTGAGTATTTTGCCCCAGCGTAACACCTGCACAAAATAGTTTCTCAATTCTAATTTCGGATATAGTTATTGTGAGTACTGATGATGTGCAAATATATCATTACTGACACATTACTTGTTTACACCTTTGCTTCAAACATCAGTTCAGACTCTGTTTCTCTTCTCCAGGAAAGGGGAAAGGACAATAATGTAGATCGGGGGTCTTTGAACTTGGCCCTTTTATGACTTGTGGACTTCAACTCCCAGAATTCCTCAGCCAGCTGAGGAATTCTGGGAGTTGAAGTCCACAAATCATAAAAGGACCAAGTTTGAAGACCCCTGATGTAGGTAATTGAGGGAAAAGTGAATGAACAGCACATTCACAGTATTCTTTGCACCAAACACACCAAATCTCTCTCCTGTCAATGTGATTGGCGCAAACAACTTCAGCTTGTTCTCATAGAAAACCTGATCACTTTTTCTTTCCAGGTATGCAAAAGTACAACTATAAGGCCTTTCATAAAGAAGGTGCAAGTCACAAAGGAATATGTCCTCATTTGTACCGCACCAAAGAATTAGAATTTCTTTTTGCTTACCCTCACTTTAAATACAGGGTCAGCTGATCCAAAGTTGCTAATTCCTGGCTGTAGTGAGTGCACAGGTTTCCTTTAAAAGGCATGGATTAGGCTTACTCTTTCGGTACTAGCCAAACAGATTTGCTTTCAGGGCCTTTAAGATTGTCACTCACTAGGCAATACAACTATAGATACACATGACTTGCAAAATGTAATGCATGCCTTGCCTAAAGCAATTAGCATTCAAATCAAAACATGGCACAATTTAGCTGCCCCTACCAAGAAGGGCAGGAGAGCACCGCACTAATGAAGCAATTATATTTACAATGTATTTCTGTTGGGCTCAAAGTGTGCTCGCTTATTCTATCCGTTCCCTGTTAATGACGGTTCTGTCACCACAAGGATTTGCAAAAGGAGAAAGAGAAGCCGTGACTGAGATTTTGTGACAGGATGGGCTGAAGGCCTTTAAGAAGATTAGAAAGTGACAGGAAACGTGTGTGTGTGTGTGTGTGTGTGTGTGTGTGTGTGAAATCTCTTGTTTGTGCTGAAGTTGAAGGAACATTTCTAAATCAGCCATTCAGAATCTGGAATGATGTGGCACAGTGACAAATAAACACATTTGTTTCAAGGGTTGAGGCTGTTTTTTGTTTTTCAAAGTTAGATCCCTACTCCAAATGGCAACAAAACTCAGTATATTTGATTGAGGACTACCTGAAGAGAAGGAAAAAACCACCCCTGTTTATCCTCTCTAGTTTGCTGCAAGCCCTGCTGCTTAATTACTGCAGTGTGCAGATTATATAGTTCTCAACATAGGACAACTGGAATCAGAATTTCCATTGTTAAGCAAGGTGGTTCTTAAGCAAGTAGGGCCTGACTTTACGACCTTTCCGCTACAGTTATTAATCAAATCACTCTGATTGTTAAGTGAATCACCGGTTCATTAAGCAAATCCAGCCTCACCCATTGACTTTCCTTGTTGGAAGCCAGTTGAGTAAATCACAAATGCTGATTTATATCACCCTGGGATGGTACAACAGTCATAAATACATGCCAGTTGACAACTGTGCCTGAATTTTGATCACGTGATGGTAGGGACGCTGCCATGTTTGTAAGGACTGGTCATGTCAGTTTTTTTCAGTGCTGCTATGACGTTGAAAGGTCACTAAACAAATAATTTTAAGTCGAGGACTACCTCTGCATCTCCTATGCTCGTGTGATTTCAAACACAGACTCTGATTTTCTTAGTGTGGTGATCAGCCCTCATCAATGTTGCTCTGATCCACTTTTCTAGAACCCTTTCTCCTTCGTAAATGGAATTTTAAGTAAAACGGAGTGGTGTTTTTCCTCCAAGAGAGGCTTCAGTTACATTGTGCAATGGGGCACATTGTATTCTGTTCAGTCAGGCCTATATTGGAGCAGAACTCAGGCATGTAATCACAGCCCTGCCGCTCCCTAAGAGCTCCTGTGAACCTGCCAGAGATGTCAAAAAATACCAGGTTAATATAAATAAAAACCTGCACTCTTAAATCAACTACAAGTGCAGTGGCTTGATCTAAAGCAACTTGTTACGCTGAATTCACCTCCTATGGGATTCTAATCAAGCATTTTTTAAAACAGACACCAACCGATTACAAGCATTTGGTGAGGAGCATGCACGAATAATGCTGTTGTGTTTCAGAGCTAAAGAGAAGATATATACAGGGTCTCACGTCATAAAATTAAGATAAAGTACTGTTTTGTATGATGCCTGGCTTACGAACATCTGCAAAAACATGTACCGTATTTTCCAGCGTATAAGACGACTCGGCGTATAAGACGACCCCCGACTTCGGAGAAGATTTGCATGGTTTAGAAAGTCGTCTTATACGCCGGAAAATACGGTATTTTGTGATGTCCCTTTCCATTTATGAACAGACAATCACACTCTCCAACAGCAGCCGTTTTGTGAGATAATCATGAGGTACTATTGACTCCAGGTAAGTCTACTACTACACACAAAAGGTTACCTACTGTTGCTCTGTGTTGGTGCATGGGCATGTAAGTATGCAAGTAACCATAATGTCAAAAAACAGGGGGACAAAACGTAATCTCCTGAGACATGCTATATCAGGGGTCTTCAAACTTGTCCCTTTTATGACTTGTGGACTTCAACTCCCAGAATTCCTCAGCCAGCTTTGCTGGCTGAGGAATTCTGGGAGTTGAAGTTCACAAGTCATAAAAGGGACAAGTTTGAAGACCTCTGTTCTATATCAATCTCAGAAAAAACTATTTTCCAACAAGAGATCTTGAAATCAGGCTATCATAGAACTGAACTTTAATTTAAAAAAAAAATCCTGATCTCCTATGGCTCAAGGAAAGGTCAGAAGGTTACACTTATAAACTCAATCCACAACCAAAATCAAGTATTCAGAAAAATTGCAAATTGCCATAGTTTTTGCACCTTCTCACTCACATTTTTAGTCTTATTAAAATCTCCCTCGGAGACATATGAAAAATAGATAGCTAGATAGTTTGTACCCATCAGAACAATTTATGGTAACCCTACCCATATTTTTAAAACTCCCTTCAAAGAAGCCACAAGAAGGAAAAATTATAGTATTTTGTCCTTTCTGATCCATAATCCAGCCAAGATTTGACTAATAAACAGGGAGTCTATTTGGAAGCCATGATGGATTTCCCCTGGATGAAAATGTGGACTTTTAAAATAGTTTTATGTTGAAATGCTTTTTATGTTGAAATGCTTTTCAATGGTTATTATACTTTTCAATGGTTTTATACTAACACCTTAGATATTTGTCCAGATGAATTGGAATACTGGTTGATTTTAAACTGAGGGGACCTTGGTGCTCTCTGAGCTTGGTTGTTTTCTGGCAGACGTTTCATTACCCAAACTAGGTAACAGGTAAAAAGTTACCTAGTTTGAGTAATAAAACGTCTGCCAGAAAACAACCAACTCAAGAGAGCACAAAAAAAACCCTCATTTCAACCCTGAACTATAAATATTCTCCTTTACTGATTTTTAAACTTTTGTTGGTGGTGTTTTAATATGTGAAATATAGTAGGTAGCT